CTGCAATGCCCCCACACCTCTGCCAGATATTGGGGTGGGAACCCCCCTCCCTGAGTGTCCCCCTCTTCCCCAGCCCAGCTCAGCCATGGCTTGCCCCAGGGAAGCACCCTCCTCTTCCCGGAGGTGCGGGGGAGGCACAGGGTGGATGAACCTTTTACCCAAAAAATTGAATACGCAGCCCCAGGCTGAGCCCAGCGCTGACGGTGCCAGCCCTGAGACCTGCCGCTGCCTCGCTGAGCCAGCTCCCAAAGCAGTCCTGCGTGCTGCCACCTTCCCTAAACTGCTTTTATTCCTTCGCCTTTATCCCCTCTGCTCTGACTCTTTTCACGGGCTGATACTGGAGGGAGATTTTTGTGTTAGAGGGAGGAAATCAGTTGCCGGCTTCATCTGAAGTGAGGTGGAGGCAGAACTGGGTGGTGTTCCCAGCCTGGGCTGGGCAGGGGTGTCCTGGGGAAGGATTTGACCAGCAAAGTGGATTGGCATGAGGCAGAGCATTTCCAGCCCCCAGCTCTGGCTGTGCTGGCCTGCAGGGCATTTACTGTGCCACCCCTGCGGAGGGTGGCCATGGCTTGCTGCGTTCACCCAGCCCGGGGGTAGCAGGGCTGCGTGGCTTTGCTTGCAGGGTTCAGTGTCCCGGCAGGATGGATCTTCTTGCTGGAGTCCTGCTCACTGCCATTTTTAGGCGGGGGATAGATGCAGTCAGCGTCAGGTTAGTTATTGCTGGGCAGGAAAGGGCTGCTGCCCAGCGACCAGGGAGGAGAGCACAGCATCGGGGCATCGGGTAAGGCTGTGCTTACGGACACCAGCATCTGTCCTGGCTGCTGCCTGCCCGGGTCCGGCAGTGCCGGAGTTGTCGGGGAGCCCAGGCTGAGCCTGTTTGCTTAGCAGGAGGGGAAAAGGCGCCGTGTTTGCTTTGGTGTCTGTGGCAGGCAGGGCCCTGGGCACCCACAGGGTGAGAGTCCTGGTTGCAGCGGGGTTTGCCCAAGCCATGCATCAGCCCTTGGGCTGGGCACACCCGGGCCAGGGGCAGAGGTGGCTCCACGTGTCCAGGAGCTGCGGCCGGTCCTCCAAGAAGCCTCCTGGTTTGGAAGACAGCCAGGGGCCGGCCAGGAGACTGCTCTTCTTGCTGCGATACCTGCCTCCCCACCAGCCCTCCTCTTCTGCTCTCCCCCTCTTTGGTGGCTGGGGGCTGCTCCGCTGCCCTGGGGCACCGTTTGGCTGCACCCTTGGGGGTCCCATCCCACCCCCAACTCTCACGGGGCTCCCCAGACCCAGCAGGACCAGCCCTGGGGAAAGAAACGGAGGGACACCAGGGACCGGGGGGGACTCAGCACCACCCAGGGATGCTGCCCC